GCTGAGCAGGGAGCCCAACATGGGGCTTCATCCCAGGACCCCAAGATCATGACCTGAGCAGAAGGCAGACACTTAACTGACTGAGCCAGCCAGGCAACCCCCCATCCCATCGCCATTTTATAAACAAGAAAACTCATGTGCAGAAGTTTATCGTAAGATCATATATCAAGTGAGCTCCAGGTTACAAGGTCAGTACCCTCTCTGCAGCACAACTGTCTGCTGATTTTCTGTCTTTCTGTGGCACCAAGAAGTAGGATTCAATGTATCTGTGTGACATTGGATAAATCATTTATTATAAATGAGTTTCAGTTCTTTCACCTTGAATTCCTACTTCAAGGGTACCTGAATGGCTCAGTTGGTCGAGGATCTGGCTCTTGATTTTGGCTCAGATCATGATCTCGGGTCGTGGGATGGAGCCCCGCTTGGAGCCCCATGTGGGACTTTGCACTCAGCGTGGAGTCTGCTAGTCCCTCTCCCTTCCTCTCTGCCCCTCCCCCCCAAAATAATAAATAAATAAAATCTTTAAAAAAAATTCCTACTTCACAGTGAGGTTGCCCTGAGGCTTAAAATGATTTAGTGTCTGCAAAAATGTCTGCTTTGCAATTAATGAAGCACTGAGCAAATTTAAGAACATTTTACATATGACAAAACTAGGTGCTTGATAATAAAGTTTACTTCATAACTAATATGTTGACAATATTTTGTCCAAGTAATGAAGGGTAAATTTTGCAGTACCACAACGAAACACAAGAGGGGGTTCATTTATGTTTTTATTTCAATGGCTGGTCATTTAACAAATACATTGGTGTATTTACTACGTGAAAGTTTATGAAATTGTTAATTTTTTTAGGGGCTTAAGTGAGCAACTCTGCACTTCATTCATTCCAGTACATTTTCTTTTTTTTCTTTTTTCCAATACATTTTCTGAAGTAGCTGTTTCTAGGAGGTGTTTTGCTCAGGAGGCTGAACAAGTAAAGCTGCTGACACTTCCATTCTTTTTTTTTTTTTTAATTTTTTTTTTTAACTTATTTATTTGAGACAGAGAGATACAGAGAGACAGAGAGAGAGTAGGAGCAGTGGGGAGAGGCAGAGGGAGAGGGAGAAGCAGACTCCCCTCTGAGCAGGGAGCCTGATGCGGGGCTCGATCCCAGGACCTGGAGATCATGACCTGAGCTGAAGGCAGACGCTTAACGACTGAGCCACCCAGGCGCCCCTGACACTTCCATTCTTTAAAAAAGAGCAGTGCCCAAGCTTTTCCTTGGGAATATTACAGGCTTGGACAGTGAATAATTGTACACTGGCATAAAATGCAGCCTATTAGGATCACACTCATCCTTAATTTGTATGGAAGGAAGACAGACGCGTTTAGAACCCCCATGTTTCAGCAAGCATAGCCAGTCTGCATTCACTGTAGTCTGAAAGGATCCACGGAAATCTTTGAGGCCTTTGGAGATCACTATATTTGTATCTTCAGTCATCCAGAATGGGAAAAGGCTACATGATTCCCAGGGAACACAGCCACAAAGCAGAAAATCAAGGTGAGGAAAATCAAGGTGAAAAGCTCTCACCACCAGGAACAAGCAAATGAAAGAGAATGGAAAATTCAAGCCAAAAGGTGTCACATACGTGGACATGTTGCCTTAAGGGCTTGAATGAAGTAAAAAACTGTAAGATATAGTGTTTTGTTTATTTTCCAAAGGTAATAAGTATTCTTCTTCTTAATTCTAATATGAGCAAAGAACTCTCTTATTCATCTTCATTTGTCATCTTTTTAATCTTTTTATATGGATGGTTAAAAGTGCAATCTCTGAAATCAGATCCATGTTATGAATAAGTTACTCAACCTCTTTGAGCCCCAAATTCCTCATAACAGTATCCTTCATAGGTTGTTGAGAGGATTGAATGAAATAAAGCAAGGCACGTAACACTGTTCTAACCACATAGCATACAATATTGTTTTTATTATCCCCAGTACACAAACATTAGCAGAATATTTGGGATCTAGTAGGATCTCACCAACAACTATGATGTTGATGTTGATGACAGTGGTGTCATGCTTGGGGGCAGGTGATGATAACAAAAACTAACATTTACCTAGCACTTACCGTGCATCAAATACTGTTCTTCGTGATTTTGTCTATAGTGACTTATTTAATCTTCCCAACAACACTGTGGGGCAGGGAATATTGTTTTTTCTTTTTCTTTTCTTTTTTTTTTTTAAAAGATTTTATTTATTTATTTGAGCAGAGAGAATGAGAGACAGAGAGCATGAGAGGGAGGAGGGTCAGAGGGAGAAGCAGACTCCCTGCTGAGCAGGGAGCCCGATGCGGAACTCGATCCTGGGACTCCAGGATCATGACCTGAGCCGAAGGCAGTCACTTAACCAACTGAGCCACCCAGGCGCCC